GGCGCCTTGCGCCCCTGCCGTTCACTGACAAGTGGATGCGCCCCCGGCGCAGATGCCACGCGCGGCCGGGCTGCCCCCACCGCCGCGCCACGCGCCAGCGTGCGTCGGCATATTGTGGGTGCAGCCCAGGCGGCTGCAGGTCAACACACCACACAAACGGGAAGCACCAGCGGTTGGGCCTTTTTCTCGCCCGAGGCTCATGTGCTGCGGCGACAACAAAGACGAGCGGCGGAGAGGATTCCTCCGCGCAGCGCGCTTGGCCCCCTCACACATTTCGTGTGAGTGTTGATTAATTACAGCGTTGCACCTAAAAGGTGGAGCATCACCTGCCCCTTGCTGCTTGCCGGCCCACAGGCTGGCGCCTGTTTTCCCTCGCTCGCAACGTCCCATGCCGCCTCTTGCCCCCGGCCCCGCCTGGGCCAGGCGCCGGCAGCGATTTCGATCGCCCTGTCTTTCTTTCCTCCCTCTCTCTCCTTGCATCTACCACCCACCCTCCGCATGCGCACACGGCCATGTGCGCACGCGCGACGCAAGCACCGACCGCCCTGCTTCGCGCCGCAAGGAGTGGCAAGCAGCCGCCGCGCTGCGTTTTGAACGCCCACGCTTGCCCGCCTAGCACAACCGACCGCGGGCCGCGCTCCCGACTGCTCCTCCCTTGAGAAAGTTACACGTGTGGTTTGCTCAGTGAGTCAGCAGCGAAGTGCTTTTTGGGGCCTCACGACCCAACCTCCCTTCATCTCCACCCCGTCTCGCCCAACTCGAGGGCGCTGTGTGCTCAGCCGTGTCACCCCCGCGCACTGCCCTCCTGCATTGCGGCGCCCACGCCACCCCTGCCACCGGCTTTTCCTACATGCCAACACGCCAAAGCATTGTAATATGTATCAAGTGCATGTAGCAAATGAGAGCCAACCCAGGCCAGCGCAATAGTACAGACGCGTCACGCAGTTTGAGTACAGTAGCAGATCACTTGGGTTGGGTTTGAGAGTAAAAGCATCCACGATTGTGCGGGGGGAAGGGCGAGTTGACTGAGGCAGGGGTTCGCATTGCGGGTGGTCAACCTTTCCGACAACCACAATTCCAAGCCACAGCGAGCCTAGCGCTGAACCAGCAAAGCAAGAACCAGACAACAGCACGGACGTGCCTGGGGCCGCGAGCTATTGCAGCACGGTGCCCGCACCCTGCAGCTCCGTGCGATATGAGCAGGCAGCCTTGATGTTCCCCTTGGGGTTGGCTGCCATGCAGCAGCGGTGTGGGCTGACAGCACCAATGAGTATGGGTGGCCGCTCTGCCAGCCCCGCGCGCTCCGTCGCTTTCCACTTGGTGCCAGTGTTCAACAGCACAGCACGAACAGACCGTCGTCACCAGGCGCGATTTAGACTCGGCAAGCGCATGGTCGTGTAGCAGTCTTCCCGCCTGCAAGTCCTTGCATTGCTCAAAGCAACCCAGGAGCAACCCACCTTCAGGAGGGTTGACCAAACATCTGCAGCACACTTGTGACAACAAACTTGCAACGCTGGCGGCGTGGCGGGCATGCGGAGAGGGTGTTGCGAGGGAGGCCCCCTGCATGGTTCCTCGCTCATTCGAGGCGTGTGGTCGACAGATCAGCGCACGCGTGCGACGCAGCTTCCGCGTTGGTGTTTGCAGCGCCGCACCGTAGGGTACAGCGATCAGTTTGGTAATAACTCTCATGAGTGTTGTTCATGATCGATCATGTAGATTGGCGTGCGCTGACCCCGCGGAACGCATACCACCACCTCAACCGAGGCCAAGGCGGCCGGAAAGTATCTATATCGCGTCTGAGCTGGAAAATTATACAATCAGGCTCTCACAGAACACCACAGCACGTCAGGCAGGCCGGTGCGGCGAGGAGGCGCTTCCTCACGCTTCTGGCCACCCGCGATGGCACGAGGCCAGCAGCACCCCTTCATTTTGGGACAGGCTTGGCCGCTGAATGGACCCTGCCAGCAGCAACGCGACGGCGGGGCTTCGCCCGCGCGCCTCGTGTTTGCGTCCTGCAGCATCGCCGGTGGCTCCGGTTTTGGCGCTGCACAGCAAGGCTCTTGCATGCCAATCTGCCCCGCCCAGCAGCAACAGCAACAGCAACAGCAGCAGCAGAAGCATCAGCAACAGCAGCAACAGCAGCAGCAGCAGGATCAGCAGCATCTGCAGCAACAGCATGACTTGCATGCCAAGAACCCTCCGCTGGCCTGGGCGCTCGTTGGCGGGGGCGGCGGCGCCCACATGGCTGGAGGCGACCACGGCCTGCACTCCCTGAGCCGCCACGTCAACAGCGAGGCCGGCAAAGCGGCCGGTGTCGTCGGCGCGCAGCTACTGCTTCTGATCACCAATTGGCAGCGCGGCGTGGCGGAACATGGCGAGCTCCTGCACCGCCGCCTCCTTCCATGGCGCCGCAACGGCTCCGCCGCGGCGCCCGCGCCCGGCGCCGACGCCGACCGCGCGTCCGCCCGCGGCTGGCGCCTGCCGTGGCACCGCGG